AGATAATAAAAAGTGCAAAAACATATTATTATAATGTAAATAATTAAATTGGTAACGTAAAAAATTATTATTATAAATAAAAAGTAATTCCAAACCAAAAAAATAAGTGTTAATGTAAGAAAGTAAAAAAAATGAAAATAATAAAAAAATTGATATCATTTGACATCTTAATACTTTAAGAAAGAGTTATGATAATTCTAAATGAAACAAAAAGTAAGAACAAATAACAAAAAATTAAAGTAAATAATTAACTTGAAATGTAAAAGAATTGATATTTTTAAATTAAAAGATTCTAAATAAAACATTATTAACATAAAAATATTTGAATAATCATTAAATTTATATCATTAGATGTAAAATGAATTTGAAATGTCTTATCCTGAAAAAAATTTTAATAATTCTAAATGTAATGATAAAAATATAAAAATATATTATTAACATAAGTAATTAAGTTGATTTCGTAAAATAAATTGATATTATAAAATTAAAAAATATATCATTTTTTATTTGTTAAATTAATAAATTAAATAAAATTATGTATACTTTTTTTAATATTTACATGTTAACCTGTTTTTCCTTTTTTTTTTAAAAAAAAATTATATTATGCTTATAATTTATCATGATATATTATGACATATCTTGATATTTTATGATTTTAGAATAAGGTCGATATATTGCGACCTTATTGTAGACAAACCTTATGGTAACAATTTCAAAAAAAAAAAAAATTGAATATCTTGCCAAGATATTAGAGGGAATTCATCATTATTTTTACTAAGGATTATCATTTTGACCAAAAATTAATTTTGAAAATTTTTAAGTGAAGGATTAATTTTTTAAAATTCTGGTTAGATATTAAGGAATTAAAGAGATTTTTCCAACAAAAATAAATAAATTTTTTTATCGTTAAATTTTTTTATATAAAAAGAGATATAATTAAAGATTTATAAGCTGAAATAAATTAGTCATTTACATCTTCTAATTGGTATTTGCTTCATGTTACATTACTTGCATTTTATTTTTATCAAAAGAAATATAAAGTAATAAATAATGGTTTTAAAATTTTGATTTTTTAAAAAATAAAAACTAATACTCTTAAGTAAAAATAATTTTTGGAAACCTTACCTAAATATGGGAGGGTTTTTCAACAATTTTTATTATAAAAGAGTATCACACCAAATTTTAAGAATTATTATAAAAGTCTCAAGCGGAGAAATATTCTTTGAAATTTCACCTAAATATTGAAGAATTTAGAAAATGTTTCGAAACTAAGGACTTTCATTTTATTCTTGTTGTAGTGTCACCATTTGTAAGACCTTCGAGTACATTTTAAGTCTTTCGAGTAAGATTCGTAAGTCTTCTAAGTTGGATATATTATAGTGTCGAGATTTATAAGACTTTTGAGCATAATCTCTAAGTCCTCTAGACACGATTTGTAAGACTTTTGAACATAATGTACTAATTATTATGATCTAAAAAGATGTGCCATGCATGACACCAGCACCAATCACCTCCTACCCTAATAGCCATCCTACCTTGCACTTCTCATCCCCAAGTAGCCACCTTAACTACTATTAGTAGCCACCATGGGACTAGAAATCAAGGCCTAAATTATATGTTAGAATTGAATAAAACCCAACTAAAAGTTAACAAAGAATGGAGGGTAATTTTGGAAAGAATTTTAGATAGTAAGGGCCTCGATTAAAACCCACCCCTGCCTGCTATGGAACTAAAAAACATTCCTACACCTCACCCATCATCAGTCTTTGCCTTTATCAACTAACCTCTCCATCATCAGCATATAACCCCACAGTCACAGTCTACCTACAAAAAAATTTCACTTGCTTGAGGCTCACTGTAAAACCTATCAAGTAAGAAAAATAAAAAAAAAACATAAAAAAACCTCATCCCCAATTGGGGAACCGTATAAGCAAAAATATAAAAGAAAATCAATAAAAAAAATGACATGAGAAGGTTTTGGTTTGGGTGATTTAAGGTGTTTTGTGTCTAAATCTTTGGTGATGAGGAAAGCTTTGAGCTAGGAAGAGCATAGTGAAACTTGGTGGCATTTCAAGTAACAGCAAAAATCTGTTTTGAGATTTAAACTAGCAAGTTTTTGGCTTAGATATAGGAAAATTTACTTGTCTTTTGGGGAAACCAATTGAAATAGTAGAAAGAGGAAGGAAATGAGAATTTTTAGGTGTATTTTGGGCTTAAATTAGTGTTGATGGCTGGTGGCAAAAAATAATGGTCGAATTCTATAAATAGGGGTGGCCAGTGTTTTTGGTTTTTGAGAGTATTTGAAACTTTTTTTTACAAAAAAGTTTTAAAATGAAGTAAAAAAAATTTAGCTTTTTAAAAAAGAAAAAAACTTTAGTTGAATTACGTGTGGACCAGACCGAACTCTGGGTAAAGCGTGCTTGACCCACATCCAGCTATTGATGACTAGCTTTGAACCGATCTAACTAAATCGGTGATAGACCGCTCCAAGCCATTGGACTAGTGATTGAACCACTTTAAACTGCTTCAAACCATGGAAAAACCACCAATTAAACCAGGTTAAATTGCTTAAATAAGATTGAACCACTCTAAATTGTTGACCAGGATTGATTGTTTCTTTTGGGTATTTTTTTAATTTTATTTAATTTTTTGCTTAGTACTTTTATTATTTTTTGTTAAATTAATTATTTTCTTATTTAAAATTCTAGATCCGTAAAATAGATATTTAATATTTTTTAGAATAAAATATTGTTAATAGAAATAAAATTTAGATTCCAAAAATGGTAAAATTCAATTTGTTCATGCAAAATAATAAATAATTTTTTAATAAATAAAAGAAGAAAATTTATTTTTCAATAATGAGATATTAAATAAATCCAAGTAGTATTTTTTTAAAAATCTCTAAATGAGAATATTTTTCTCAAATGGTATCAAAATATTTGAATATTTAAAAAGATATTCAATACAAGAAGATTTTCATTTTTTAATGGAAGAAAAATAAAAAAATGAGTATTTTTAAAATAAAATTATATCCAATAATGCATAAATATTATTTGTATTAATATGAATATCCAAGAATGGGATTCTATAGAAATTTGAGTAGTAATTTCTAAAAAATTTCTAGATTAAAAAAATTCTTTCAATATTATCAACGTATTAAAACATTTTAAGAGTTTTTAATAACAAGGTTTTAATTTATTTCCAAATAAAAATAAAATAATAATTTTATTAGAAAAAGAGAAAAATTTGCAAAGAAATTGAAATAAAAAAAAATCAAAATTGTGATAAAAAAGGAAAAGAAATTATTTTTAAATACCAAAATTAAGTTTTTTTTTGTCAAGATTAAAAAAATAATACATAATTAATTTGTATGGTTTTTTAAATGAAGATTGTGTAGATGTTAATCGTTTCCCACATATAATTGTAGTCTTGAATCCAAACCGTTTCATAAAACACAATTTATTTTTTTGATAAATTTTAATTAATTTTAAAATTTTTACAAAAAAAATAATTTTTTTAAGTGATCAATTACATCTAATAAAATAATTAGTAATAATTTTTTATGTTTTTTTTTTTAAATTCGTATAGCGATTCTCAAACAGAGATTCCTTTCAATATTATAGTTAATGATTAGCCAACAATGATCAATTTGAAAACAATAAAATATAATTGAATCGTGGCATTTGTAATGCAAAAAGAAAATTGCAAATCAAGCAAGCCCTTGTTTTATCATTCTTTTAAGTAACTGTTTTAAGAAAACGAACACTGTTTAATTTTGAGGTTATCATGTATCATACCTTGTTACTAAAACAGAAATATAATAAGTAGAAAAGAAGTAAGGAAAACAAGAAATAATGGGACTTAAGGTTAATGTGTGTTTCAGGGTGTTACAAATGTAAAGTTTTAAGAAATTATTTTCCGTGATAATTATATTATATTATTTAATTACTTCATTCGTGCATAAAATGATAAAACACATAAATAATAATATGTAATCATCCTACACTGCTTAAAGTTTTCTAAGGATGCAAAAGGTTTGCTTATGAATTTTCTCATTCTTAATGCAATCGAAACTTGTTATACGGATTGTAAAGTATTTTTTACCAATTTTATACTTTTTCTCTTACAGCGATCAACAACCCAACTGAATTTATCGTTCGAGGTCACAATTATTCACTTTCATTATATAAAAATTTAATTTTCACCAATATCTTACAAACATATTCCTTTCTGTGACATATCTTACACAAACATTGTTTGTTAATTAATTTGATATTTTAAAAAGAAAAAAAAAACCATGAAAAATTGATGATTATTTATTAACATGTAAAACTTTATTAACTAACTTTCGTTGGTATCTTGATATCACAATTTGCATGCTTTACCTTCTGCATAAAATATAAAATTGTTTTTGTTGATAAAAATATAAAATGTTGAACTCAAACAAAATGTTTATGAAGTACATCATATGGGTTGGGTCTACTATGAATAAGTTCTTACTTATTTTAGTTAATAATTTGACAATTTCGAAATTTTGATCATATTTTGATAAATTTATTACGAGAAACTATTTCATTTACTATAAGTGAAATTCTTAGATTTCACAAGCTGATTAATAGGATTATATGCACTCTTTAAGATATATAAAAAAGAATTAATTTTTTAATAAGTGAAAAAAGCTATTTTGGTTAAATTTGATAATTTATGTATTCGAATAATATTTTACATAAAATTTATATATTTATCCACATAAAAAATATGAAATATATTTTTATATTTGTTAAACTTATATATAATTTTTATTAAAATTTTAAATTATTGTAATTTTTTATATTTTTTTCTATCATTTTCCGTATACGTTATGTTTTGAAATACTAAGTCTTAGTCTTATCCTATTCGCATTCGAGCCTTCTTTTCATTCATATTACAGATTGGTCCAAACTTAGAGCTCTCTCATCTTTACGAGAACTAAGCCCAACATTATATTGGGTCCAGTCTTATAAATTCAAAAGTACATAATTCGGGCTACTCGGATCTTGATAATTACAGAAACGCCACAGCAAATCTGCCCGAGTCGAAAAAAGAAAGAAAAAAAAATATTATGCAGAAGAGAGAGCAGGGCAAATCAGGCGGCGCGGCTGGTGGGACCGCTGCACCATCTGCAAAGAGAGGCCGGCCCTTTGGCAGCACAGCTGGAGGCGCAGCCTCCGCCTTTTCAGCTGATTCAGTGGCTCCGTCCACTCTCTTCGGCCCTTCCCTCCAAATCCAGAACTCCTTCGCAGGTAATAAACCCTAAACCCAGAATTGAAACAAAAAAAGTCAGAATTTGTAAAGAAAAAAACAGCTGCTTTTACTATATTATATTTATCACTTTGGCTAATTTGCAGTTATTTTTCTTATTAAATACTTGTATATTTTTAAATTGACTGTTGAGTTTGTTATTGTGTTGTAAATAGAACAAAACAATAAAAGGATAGTTCTTGCACTTCAAAGTGGATTGAAGAGTGAGTTGACTTGGGCTTTGAACACTCTCACATTGCTCTCTAAAGATGATATGCGTAAAGACGCCTGCTTGGCCAAAATACCTGGCTTGCTCGATGCTCTTCTCCAAATTGTATGTTTTCTCTCTGTCTTGATAAACTTCTATATGCTATGAAAGTAAATTGTGGGAATTCTTTGGAATTTCCGTGTGGGTTAAGATTGAATGATTGTGCTGGTTGCTTCTGTTATTTGTAATGTGGAACAGATAGACGATTGGCATGATATGGCCCTCCCAAAGGAACTTAAAAAGGGACAAAGGGCTAGAACATTGGGTGCGAGTTCTGTTGTAACAGGATTTGGGAATGAATACGAGGCGTTGGGAACAAACACCTTGCTGCCACAGTCAGGGTAGGCTGAAAATCTTTTTGTGTTCTCTTGTTGGTTTGAGTGACTGGAAAATAAATATGGTTTGTTTTTTCTGGCATGGCAGATTGAGGTCAGGTTCTTCTGCTGCAGAAATATCGAGGCAGAAGAATACTACCAAAGTGCGTCCTTCTGAGTGGTGGTTTGATGAAGATGGTCTATTTAATCTAGATGATGAGGGGCGAGCAGAAAAACAGCAGTGTGCTGTTGCTGCTTCTAATATTATTCGCAACTTTTCTTTCATGCCAGAGAATGAAATTGCTATGGCTCAGCATCGGCATTGCTTGGAAACTGTGTTTCAGTGCATAGAAGGTCACATTGTAGGTGAGACTGCCCTAGTCTTTTCTTTCTCATCATGAATATTTTAGTTTATGTATATGCAAGCCTATATCCTTCAAAATATATACTCTTTTACATTCTAGGATGAGATTGAAGAATTTAAGATTTAGATCTTGGTTAGCTAATTGCTCAGACAGGGAATGATCGGGAATCAGTTGTTGAAGGTATCATCAGATGCAACAATCATAAAGTAGTTGGTCTGTTATTGACTGATTGTTAACCCAAGGAAAATTATTGGAATTCTTGGATGGTCTTAAAATGTTTGCTGTTGAGTTTATTATGTGTAGACCAAAGGTGAATCATTAGGAGTGGTGGAAGCGGAACTTTATGAGCTATATTTCCTGCTATAGAATATGCATTTTCTTCTTCTTATTTCCATTTTTTCCTCATACATTTTTCCTTTCTATGTAGGTAATGGTATTTTTCTTCTAATACTTGTTGCAAAAAATTCCCTAAATCTTTCAAAGCTTTGAGGTATGCTTTCTCTAAAATTTCTTTTCTCAACAGAGGATGAGGAACTTGTTACAAATGCCATTGAGACAATTGTAAATTTGGCTCCCTTGCTTGATCTTCGAATTTTTAGCTCACCAAAACCATCCTACATTAAAATAACGTGAGAGAACCCTGATCTGCTCTCTTCCTTCAGTGGATGCTTTTGTAGTTTCTAAGTTCTGGTTGATGATTACATATACTGTTCTACCAAACAGTGAAAAACGTGCAGTTCAAGCTATCATGGGGATGCTAGGATCCCCAGTCAAAGCCTGGCACTGTGCAGCTGCAGAATTTCTTGGGCGCATGATTATAAATCCTGAAAATGAACCTCTCCTCCTTCCCTTTATTCCACAGGTGAATAACATTCTGGTGACAATTTTCTTGTGTGAGAAAATGCCTTTTCATGTTATAAATTGTAATAAGAACTTGATAGTGACTTGCAGATGTATAAGCGTTTAGTAGATCTTTTGAGCTTGCTGGCGTTTGATGCTCAAGCTTCTGCCATTGGTGCACTCTATAACCTTGTGGATGTCAATATGGACTGCAGATTGAAGCTTGCTAGCGAAAGATGGTAATTTTATATTTTTGTAAATATGGATGATGGGATAATGGTGATGGCATAGTTATTATTAAAGTTTGTTGCTGAAATGACAATATTTGTGTACAATTCACTCAATTTAGGGCCGTTGATCGTATACTGAAAGTGATCAAGACACCACATCCAGTACCAGAAGTCTGCCGGAAAGCTGCGATGATAATAGAGCACCTTGCATCTGATCCTCAGAATAGGACATCGCTGCTAGCTTATGAAAATGCATTTGCAGAGATACTCTTTTCAGATGGTAGACATTCTGATACCTTTGCAAGGATTTTGTTTGAACTGACTTCAAAACCAAACAACAAAATGGCAACAGCTCGGGGAATTTGGGGCACGTAATTTAGACCTTGACTCTAATTAAGTCGACTGTTAGATTTGGACATGGCCCCTAAGCTTACTTGTACATACTGCCCGAGTTTAGATTATAACTGATCATTAATTATGTCGTGCTTGTAATATGTATGGATCCTTAATTTCGACAATGTTTTTTAAACACTCAGAAAGCTGGCTATAGCGCTATCATCTAGTATTTATTTGTCCTAGTGTTAATGGCATAAATATAATCGAATTTTACTATGTTTGTGATATGTTCATTTAATTAATAAATTTTGAAATATTTTGTGATCAATTGTTAAATTTAATAAATTAATATGAATTATTTGTTTATGAATTATTAGTCAAATGATTTTTTCATTTACACTTTTACCTTAAAAGCAAATAAAATATAAATAAATTTTATTATATTTGTGATTTGTTGGATTGATTAAAGAATTTTAAAATATTATTTATAAAATGACTGGAAATAAACAGAAATCGAATTTGTTTATGAATTATTTATTAAATACTTTGTTCCTTTATACCTTTAATTAATGTAATGATTTTTTCCCTTTAATGTAGTTTGTGAATTTTTATGTCCTCAAACAAGGAATGAGATTCCTCTATGTCTATTAAAACTTTCTCCCAAAGTTAATTAGATGACTGCGGAATGTGTCTTACAATCGAAATGGTGTTTCTTAGCTCGTGACTATTTGTTTCTTAGTTGGAATGTCATTCATTCATCCAATTATCCCACTGTAATTGTTGTTTTAGATCATCAGGGCATTCCAATTAGATCCTAATTCCTCAGGAACCGTGCCGTAGAGTAGCTGTGCACTTACAAGCCTTTCTTCCTTAAAGCACGAGGCCGCACCTACGTCTGTTCTCCCCAGATCACACGAGACAGCAACGTCAAACCATGACCCTCAAATCATTTTCCCTATCGCCTCAGGTTAAATGAGCTTAGGCATCCCCCGTACTGGCATCTATTTCTGCTTTTAGATTACAAGGAAAAGTGTGATTATAAAAAATATATGATATTCAGTTTTTTTTTTTCATTATATCTCGTTTTTAAATATATTTTTTTTATTATAAGAAGTTCACGTATATTAATTTTTATATAATTATCATAATTTTTTTTACATATATAATTTTTATTTTGTTTTATTAATAATTAATATCCAAATGATAAATGATATCTTTAGCAATAAAAAAATTACTATTTTTATTTATAAAATATCATCAATTAAGGCATTCGAGACTTTTTTTTAGTAATAAAAATTGATAAAAAAAATTTGTTAAAAAAAGATCAATTAATGCATTTACCATTTTTTTAATATCACAAAAAACATTAAAAATGTTCTTTTAATTTATTTATAAAAAGATTATTTAGGGTATTTTTGTACAAAAAAACGTCTTAAATAATTTTTTTATAAAAAAATAAAAGGATTATTTAAAACATTTTATGTACAAAAACGCCTTAAATGAATTTTTTTATTTTTTTATATCATAGATCATTTAATAATTATCTTTTAATTTATAAAATGATTTAAGGCACTTCTATACAGAAAACGCCTTAAATAATTTTTTTATAAAAATATCAACCCTAAACTTTAAACCCTAAACTATAAAAAGATTATTTAAGGGTTTTTTATATAGAAACGCTTGAAATAATCCTTTTATAGAATTATTAATCCTAAACTCTAAAATATAAAATGATTATTTAAGGTTATAGAAACGCCTTAAATAATACTTTTATAAAAATATAAAAGATTATTGAAGGCGTTTTTTATACAGAAATACCTTCAATAATCTATTCATAAAAATATAAAAAGATTATTTAAGATGTTTCTTCACACCAAACGCCTTAATTGCAATATAAAAAAAAATATATTTTTTTGTACAAAAACCTACAATTGAGTTTCAGTAACTTTCAAACATGTTTTTTAAAAGGGTAATAGTTATTTCATCATTTTTTATTTAGGTCAAATTTGAAAATAAGGTAATTTTTCCCTCGGAATCTTAGAATATCATAAAGAGAGGCGAGTTTTTGATTCCGGGACTTGGGTACTATTGAAAATCTGACATTTTCCCCTATAATTGATTACCCTGAACCAAACGTATGAATCAAATACCTACCATCAAGATTCTGGAGGAAAATTTGTGAATTTCTCTAAACCAAATGCACTTAAATTGTAATTGGAATTAGTTTATTAGGATTTCGATAAAATTTTATTGATTAAATAATTATTTGGTGATTAAATTTATTTAAGGACAAATAAACTTAATGAATATAGTTTTTAGTAAATGAAAATTTTTTATAATTATGTAATAGGTCTCCATAAATAAGTGATATCATTTGTTTCATGAATCATAAGCAAATAAGTAAATGAGAGAGAATGGGAGGGAGAAAGAAAAAAAAAAAGAACTCTTTATTCGTGTAATTTTTTGAGTTTTTCTTTTTTAAACTTGTTATAGGGTTTGTTGTGTATCTAAAATTAGTGGAAATACAATGAAATTTCAGATGAGTGGTAAAATTCTTTGTGATTAAAATGATATTTCGTATAGTGAATTTTATCTTTGGTGGCTTGTGTTTTTTCTCTGGTTTTGAGAGTTTTTCACATAAAATCTTGTATGTTGTCATTTTTCATATTCTCTATTACTGTTTGATACTTTCTGTAAATGTAGATTCATGTGGTTTGTAATTTGGTACTAGTCAAATATACAACATTGTTCATGTATACGGAAAGAATGATAGATTCGTATGTGAAATTTTCACCAACAAAACGATGAATTTGGCACTACTGTTGTTAGATTCTCAGCATTAACACTTCATTTCTTTTAGCTATTTCTATTTTTGGTTCCTATTTCTCAAAAGTGGGGATCATAATAGGACAGATTGTGATGGATTTATACTCATCTTGATCTCGATCTAACTCTTTAATAGTTACATTCAACTTTGTTCCGCTTTAACATCATATTATTTTTTTATATTCGATTTTGACTTACATGCTTGACTCGATTTAAAATTAATTAAATAATTTTATAAAAATATTATTTTTAATACAAATTATATTTTAGTTATATATAAATGTAGTATTCATTAAGTTAATCTTTTAAATTAAGGTATTAAATATTAAATTTTATTAATAATATAAATATAAATATAAAATAAATAATAAAAAATATATTTCTATATGTACTTTGGGATAGATCAAGAAAAAGCATCATAAATTTGCTTTCAACCCATTATCGTTATTTTTATATGAAAATAGAATACTTATCCTGTTAATATCCGATCTTAATTTTTCCAAAACAAAAGTTGTTTTGCCATCCCTACTAAAAAGGGCATAATATACAAGTATAGATTGCTAATAAAAAGGAATACATACAATATGAACTGGCTATCAAGTTGCTAAAACAGGTAATACTAAGAAGGAGATTCATTCTAAATGCTCCAAAAGAAAAAAAAAAGCTTTATTCTAGTGCTATATCTTTATCTCATTGCTATATTTTCTTTTCATCTATTAAAAGGAAGGATATGAAAGATTGTCAGGAATATGGATTATCCTTCAAAAGTTAGAAGTTGTTGGAAAAAATAAAAGGGTTCATGGGTATTGATTATGAGTATTGATTGATATGATTGTGTATTTGTAATTCTCTATAACTAGTGAATTTTTTTTTTCATCCGTTGGTGTATATTCATTGGCTTGAATACGTTAAATTATTGCCTCTTATGTGATTAATCGATTATTTGATTATGCTTTCGCTTCTTGGATGTTTAATTGGATTGGAGGCTTTTTGCCTAACAATTGATACTAGAGTTATCGTGATCCTAACAAATAATATTAGAGCTAAAGATTCAAGGTATAGAAAGAGACAAGCCTAGAAAAGCTTAATTCAATAGAAGAGTTCAAATTTGTGTATTAATGATTGGTTTACATGAAGTGTGAAGACACAAGAGAAGATTATTATGAGACTTTCATTGTAGGCGCAATCATGCATGTCTAACATGAAATCCAATGATTTGATAAAATTTGAGTCAAGGTAAAAATTATTAAGAATAGTAACTCAATTTTCATAAGAGATTTGTTTAAGATTGATTGGATATTATTTGATGAAAAAAAGACTTGTAAGAGAAGAATTCTAAGGCAAAAAGGGATTTTTGATAGGCAAGCTAGTATACTTATAAATAGGTGAGGTCTCCATAGAGTTATGTATGAGAAAAAGATGTAAGAGAGTTATGTGTTTAATTAGGAAGACATCTCATAGGACTATAAGAGATTAAAGTATTTATTGGAATGCATGTTTGAATGGATTAGAGGAGAATGAGAGGGTCCACATAGATATAGTGCATGAGTGTACATAGGTATATATTTGTTTAGACTGAGAATACTTTATAAGACTAGAAAAGAATGAAAGGATCCATTGGTATTGATTGTGAGTGTTGATTGATATGATTGTGTGTTTATAACTTTTTACAACTAGTCGTGGACGTAGGCTGGTTGAGCTGAACCACGCTAAATTACTATCTTTTATGTGATTGATCAATTGTTTGATTATGCTTTCGCTTTCTTAGATGTTTAATTGGCTTAGAGGCTTGTTTGTCTAACAACTAGTATAAGAGTTGTTGTGATCCAAATAGACATTTCATAAGAAAAATGTGTTTGAATGCTATGGCTTTTTTTGATAATTTGAGGAAAAAGAAGATAATCAACTCTTTAGAGTGTCATTTCTAAGGTGCAAAATAAGAAAGGATAGAGCATATACTTTTACAATGTGAGTGGACATGGCAAGTATGGTTTGGATGTTGTATTACTCTGAGAATAAATGTTCAATGATTAGTATTTTAGATCAGTGGTTGATAGTTGTCTAGAAGAACATTGAAAAGAAACGTGATAAAGAGCCACTCTAGTCTCAAATAGGTTTTGTTTGTTGGACAATATGGAAGGTTCGGTGTGAATATGTGTATAATCATACAAGACCTAATCCAAGGATTATTATAAAGGTTAATATTATGAATGGTCTTTAAATTACAATCAAATGTTTAATGTGATAATTGAATTTTAAAAATTTTTAATGTGATACTTAAATTATGAATTTATTTACTAATATGATACTTATCACTAATTAGTTTCCAATGATAATAAATGGCTAACAAATAGGCCTCCAAATAACATAATTGTTTAAGAGATTTATAGTTCACGTATTACATTATAGATTTTAGAATTTCTAATACCATATTGAGCATTTTATTTTAG